TATATATATATATATATATGTATATGTATTCAGGGGACATTATATATAAGGCCAACAAATGGCATGTCCTCCTCTACTACTCTTAGTGACCCTAATAGCTTAGATGCATATAGAAGATTATTTTCTTCTTATGGAGATATTAAAAAAGTTTCTGTTAATAGAAAAAGAGACTCGTAAACCCTAAACCCTAAACCCTAAACCCTAAACCCTAATTTTTTTTTTTTTTTTTTATGATTTCTATGCTTCTTTGTATAGGACGAATTCTCTTTTATTGGTGTCTGCATGCATTTTATTTCTTTGTTTTTATTTATTTATCTATTTATTAATAAATATTTATTTATTTATTTACTTGTTTGTTCATTTATTTATTTTATTTGTTTGTCTTTTCTCTCTCCAATTTGGTTGTTTGCCCCTAATTGTGTGTATTTATTGATGAATAATTATTAATGAATTAGGTAGATTCATATAATAATTATATTTATTTATTTATTTATTTATTTATTTATTTATTTTTTTTTTTTTTTATTAATTATTTATAGGGAAAAGTTTGTTGAATACCATGACGTACGTGATGCAGCAAAGGCATTAGAGGCATTAAATGGTCATAACTTTAATGGCGTAACTTTACAGATTTGTTTTGCACAAAATGCATCCAGAACCTTGTAAACCCTAAACCCTAAACCCTAAACCCTAAACCCTAAACCCTAATTTCGAAACCCTAATTTTTAAACTCTTTGAAAATATTTCATATTTGTAGTGTTTTTTTTACCGCTACTTTTCCTCCTCTTCCTCCTCCTACGGGTCCCTCCTCTATCTCCTAGGGTTTAGGGTTTAGGGTTTAGGGTTTAGGGTTTGTGTGCAGCAATAGAGAGCCTGCATCGCGTCGTGTAGCAGCAGCAAGGACACCAGAGGCTATGAGCTATGGGCCTTATAGAGGAGGAGCATATAGTGCCCCCTCTATGCGTTATGTTTCTCCTTATTCTTCTCCTGTTAGTATAAATATATAAATAAATTAATTAAATAAATTAAATAAATAAATAAATTAAATAAATAAATATTTAATTCCCCTTCTTGTTTTTTTCTCCTTATTCTTCTCTTGTTTGCTTACTTATTCTTTTTTATTTAATTCCTGTTTTCCTTCCTTTTCCTTCTATTATTTATTTATTTATTTATTTATTTATTTATTTATTTATTTATTTTGTTGTGCTGCAGCCTGTCTTAGCGGGGCCCCCCTCCTATGGGCCCTACGGTGTATGCCCAGTGCAGCACGGGGGCCCCTCTTATGGTGCCTCTCCTTATGGATATCAGCAGCAGCAGCACGCCCCTCCCCCTGGTGCTGCTGCTGCTGCAGCAGCAGCAACTTATCCCCCTGGATGGCCTCCTGCTGCAGTACCCCCTGCTAGTGCTGTTGGGGGGGGCCCCTATGCGGGGCCCCACAGGGGCCCCATGCCTATGCCTGTCTATGGCGGTACCCCTGGAGGAATGCCAGCCCCATGGAGGCCACCTCAGTAGAAGCTGCAGCAGCAGCAGCAGCAGCAGCAGCAGCATAAGCAGCAGCAGCACATGCAGCAGTAGGATATGCCGCAGTGGCATATGCAGCAGCAGCATACGCAGCATCAGCATATGCAGCAGCAGTATATGCGCATAAAGCAGCAGCATATGCAGCAGCAGCAGCACCAGCAGCAGCAGCATATGAGCATATGCAGCAGCATCAGCACGTGCAACAGCAACAGCACATGCAGCAGCAGCACATGCAGCATCTGCATATCGTGCAGAAGCAGCATGTGCAGCAGCAGCGGCACATGCAGCAGCAGCAGCACGTGCAGCAACAGCAGCACATGCAGCAGCAGCAGCTGTAGCTGCTGCAGCAGCAGCTGTAACATGAGGAGGAGGAGAGGGACAAAGGGAAGCAGACAGAGACACCCGCGTATTATTATTAGTAATTATAATTAATTAATATAAATAATACGCGGGTAATTAAATAAATAAACAAATAAATAAATAAATAAATAAATAAATAAATAAATAAATAAATAAATAAACAAATAAATAAATAGCTGCAAGGAGACAGGTACCATATATTATATATACAGCAGCAATAAGGGAGGCAGCAACAATGCAGATATTTATTTATTTAAATTATTTAATTAATTAAATTAAATAAATAAATATTATTAATTAATTAATTAATTAATTAATTAAATTAAATTAATTAATTAATTAATGGACAAAAGGAGAAAAAAACAAGAAAAGAGACAAAAGGAGACATTTTTTCTCTTTTGCCTCCTTTTTAGATGTCCTCCCTTAGCTGCACACAGCAGCAGCAGCAAATGCTGCAGCAGCAAATGCTGCAGCAGCAGCAGCAGCAGCAATAGCGGCTGCTGCTGCAGTAGTAATAGCTGCAGCAGCAGCGATAGCAGCAGCAACTGCTGCTCCTGCTCCTGCTCCCGCTGCTGCTGCTGCTGCTGCTGCTGGAAGCTTAACCTTGCCTGCCCACCCTCTTGATTTGCTTCCCGCTTGCTGCTTGTGCAGCAGCAGCAGTAGCAGCAGCAGCAGCAGCAAGAACAGCAGCAGCAGCAGCAGCAAGAAGAAGAACAACAGCGTTACGAATTGCAGCAACAGCATTAGCGAAGACAACATTAGCAGCAAGAAGAATATTAGTAACGAGAGGAGGAGCAACAACAACAACAACAGCAGCAGCAGCAGCAAGAACAGCAGCAGCAACAGCAGCAACAGCAGCAACGACAGCAGCAAGCAAGACTTGTTCGTAGGGTTTAACGAAGGCGTGATTGGGGGTAGCCAATAGAGCAGCAGAGCTTAATTTGCTGCTGCTGCTGCTTCTGCTGCTGCTGCTGCAGCAGCAGCAGCAGCTTGCTGCAGCAGCAGCAGCAGCAGCTTGAGCTCCCCCACTACCTTTGTCAGTTGTATGGACTCTCTGCTTGAGTTGAGCAGCATAATAAATATGTTAGTATTTATTTATTATTTAATTATAAATAAATAAATAAATAAATAAATTAATTAATTAATTAATTAATTAAATTAATTAAATTAATTAAATTAAATAAATAAATGAATAAATAAGGGGAAAAAAAGTATTTATTTACCCCCTTTATTTACCTCCCTATACACTACAAGAAAAGAACATCTCCCTATACACTCCATGCTACCAGCTGTATAGACAGATATACACTGCTGCTGCTGCAGCTAACAGCAGCAGCAGCAACAGCAGCAGCAGCAGCAGCTGCTGCTGCTGCATATCAGCGGCGCCGCAGCTGCCTTCCTACCGTACAGGAGCAGCATCTGGTACCTATCTTGCCAGGCGGCTAGCTAGCTAGCTGCCTAGCTAGCTAGCTAGCTGGCTAGCTAGCTACCTAGCCAAGTAGCTAGCTGACTAGCCAGGTAGCTAGCTAGCTAGGTGTATGGAGTACACTGGGGTGTATATACAGTCCAAAGGTGACGGGGTGTATGGAGGGAATTCTTTTTTATTTTAATTTATTTGTCTGCCCTATTCAGGCATTCCTGCTGCTGCTGCTGCTGCTGCTGCGGAGGTTGCTGTTGCGGCTTCTGCAGCTGCGGCTGCTGGTGGTACCCCAGCAACAGCAGCAGCAGCAGCAGCAGCAGGAGGGGTTCGGTGCTGCTGCTGCTCTTTTAGCTGCAGCAACTAATTTATAAACCCTTTCCTAAACCCTTCTTAAACCCTTATTTTAATTCCTCTATATAAACCCTCGTAAACCCTAATTAAACCCTCGTAAACCCTAATTAAACCCTAGTAAACCCTAATTAAACCCTCGTAAACCCTACATAAACACTAATTAAACCCTTTAGTAAACCCTTATATAAACCCCCAAATAAACCCTCGTAAACCCTTGAATAAACCCTCTAATAAACCCTAAATAGACCATTTAGTAAACCCCTGTATAAACCCTCGTAAACCCTTAGATAAACCCTAAACCCTAAATATAATATATACGTATATACATATATATTTATATATATTATATATTTTATTATATATAAATATATAAATATATTTATATATAAATATATAAATATATTTATATATAAATATATAAATATATT